TCGTTGTGTTCACTCCCAGGGGAACTACTTCGAGGGTGATGGATGAATTTAATACCTGAGATAAGTGTACGGGTTTTTATAGGCGCAGTCTTGAAACTTTCCGATCGCACCTCGTATACTTTCAGACAGGAGGATGATCATGGATGATGATTTGAAAAGGATGTGGAAGTGGACATGGCCGATTTTAAGGTACCAATATCAAGTACGAGAACTGGATGCAAAACAGTCATGCTAACCTTCCAACTGCAATGCATTCACAGTGCCACAGTGGCATCAAAACAAAACCAAACAAATAAATATGATGAGGTAAAATTATATTAACACAGGAGAACTTCCCCATATGAAACTAAACTTGAAAACCTGATCTTTAGTGACATATAATGTTCATGTGATCGGTAATTTCACTGCGGTTACCTTACCAGCGGTCTCACAGAAAGGATCGCTCAGATCGAAACTTATCGCAGGCTTCGGCACCATCTTGCTTATGTCTTGGCTCCACTGTGAAGGAACTGAGCCTCGCAACTGAACGAAAGAACTGAAGTGGCCGGAATAGAACGACGAGACAGCTGAGTCGTGAACCATCTGCTCCGTTTCGACCTCATTGGCGACATCTCCCTGCAACAATACCAGACCGATCAGCGACATCACAACTGCATACTGAACTAGCAAACAAGAATGGGCATATCTGGAGGTTTACACTTCATGAAATGGAGTTTGAGAAGGAAGAAATGAGGATAACATTTGGATGTAAGATAGAAGATGCAACAAGAGTGTATAGAAAATTATAATTTCAATGCACAGGTAGGCCCCGATTTATGCCGGGGTGACGTTCCACTTCCTCAGGGTCGTCAGCTGAAGCGGATAAAATAAAACATGAATTATAATGTATTGTACTGGCGGACGAGGATAAATCAACTAGCGCTGCCTAGGTATCCACTTCCTGTGCTGCGTTTATGCTTGCATTTCTAAATTTTCTTCTTATATTTTTTTTTCACCATTATTTTACAACTGTTCGGCTAGTCACGTTTTCAGTCTGTTTAAAGATTAATGGGATTCACACGCAGGGTATCTATATGCGCGGGTGCGCGCACACGTGTCAGAGGAGTAATATTTCGTCCATTACTTGCTCGTTAATTCCTTGGACGAGTGGTGTTACGCATCACGCAACAACTTTGGTTAGAAGAGTTTGTCGTCTTCATCGTGTTCAATAAGCGGTTGATTTTATTTTTGGTCGTTCCAGTCGATCGAGTCAAGAAACAATTGGAAGACGACTCCGGGGGTCTTACAGACAGCGAAGGCGGTTCAGGTGAGTAGAATCGTTTACCGATTGATCAGAGCGCGTTGTCCGCAAATACAGGTAGACCCCGATTTGCGACGGGGTTATGTTCCACCTCTTCAGGGTCGTTGGTTGAAGCGGCGTAAATCAAGGAAGAATTGTAATGCGTCGTACTGGCGGACGAGGAGAAAGCGACTGACGCCGACACTAGCGCCGCCTAGGTACCCACTTCCTGTGCTGCATTTTCAAATTTTCTTCTTAATTTTTTTTGCTCTTAAAAGGGCGTTAATGTGAAACAGCGTAAAATGAAGCGTCATAAAGCGGGGCCTACCTGTAATTAAATCAAGGGGGTTCATCAAAGTCAGTGGGAAACGTAGTCATGCGCACAAAGGAATAAAAAATACGAGGCTATGAGCATGAAAATTTTGAACAAAGAAGCCATGTGACAAATTTATGAACACGTGAGATGATAATATAAAAATGGATCAAAAGATAAAGAAGGCGGGGACTCAACTGGCTTCAGACAGGGTTCAATCGTAGGCCTTTCTGTGCATACAGAACCTTCAGCTTCCAATAGAACAGCACCACGGAGTCAGTTTTACTGAATAATAAATCTTAAAAACTTTTAAGTCTAAAAATATCTTAGCACAATGATAAAACTCTTGTGGGAACATATCTCTCCATACAGGGGCCAAAAAATATTACATGAAGACTTACAAGTAATTTATGTCAAGAAATGGTGATGCAACCTTGTTCAAAAACAGGGATTCAAATTTAAATTTGATGTTCTCAGTTCGTGGAAATATAAAATAACGTCACCTCCTTTATATTAAATGGTCGCTCTTTTAATGAGGATGAAATGGACTCAATCATGGCTCTGAAGTTCTGCAACATCAGCATAATTTTAACATTATTCTTTGGTTTAAACATCACCGAGTTTGCAAGTCAACTGTTTAATTACATACTTCAGGTTCGCTGAAACTACAAGCACAACTTTCACGCCCTTCATTTTTGATCTACCAAAATTCATACCCCAGGAACCAACCAAATAACAGCTTTATTAAATCAAATTAATTTATTAATTTATCTTAAATACACAAATATAACCAATTTTCATATCTGGCACATTCAATTACAATCATTACTTACCTCAAAGTTAGCTCCTCTTTTGAGAAATCTCGTGCCGGCATATTTGCTCGAACGGCGAGCTATTATGGTCACATAAACTGAGCGGCCATATATAGACATGTTAGACTGGCCAACGAAACCATGCATGATGTAGAGAATCCAATCAGGATGGAGATCTCCTTCTACTTTCCGCAAAAGATGCAAATTCCACACAAATCTTCTGTTGGGCTTATTGCAAACGCCATAGTCTACTGTTTTCATCTTGCTGTCCTTAACATCAGGCCTGGAAATGAATCACAACTTCAGTTAATTCGGGTGACAACGCAGGCTGCAACAGTATTATTTCTTAAGTCCCAAGGCTACGTGAATTACACACGCAAATACTTTAAATCAATATTAATATACATGTCCCATTATACACCGTGTAGGCACTTGCGGGGAGAGCTCCTACTCATTCTTAACCTACGCACTATATGGTAGTGAGTGGTCAGCGTCGCGCCCCGGCCGCGCTTTACCCCCCAGAAAGGACCCCAGTACCCACTGGACAGGAGGATGGGCGGGCCCCAGAGCCGGTCTGGGCGTGGAGGATAGAGGAAAAAATCCTCTGCCCCAACGGCGATCAAACCCCTAGTCGTTCAGTCCATAGAAGTAAAAGAGTATAATATCAAAATGGATCTTAACCATTCCTGACCCAAGAAATCACGAATATGTAAAATTTCTGACAGCGATGGTTGAACAATAAATGTAAGAATTAGTATTAAATACTTTTGATTTGGTTGTCGCTATTCTTGACCACGTTTCTTGTGATAGATTCTCGAATGAGAAGTAAAAATCTAATACAAATATCTGCACACTCATTCGGTAAAGAATTTATACAGCAACTACATATACCGACACAATAATAAATAAATATTGTGGGTTCACGGTCGAACAGGAGCCTGTAAACACGCAAACTGGCTGGTTACAGGAACGCGGTTCACATATCTTTCTTGTCATTTATCTACGCATCAGTAGCGGCATCATCCCAGTGTAGATGCACCGGATATACAACACACTCCTTGTGAAGGCGGAGTTCGCCCTGAGGTACCACGCACTCACCCGTCTTGCTGCTGTTTCGATGAAAATTTCCAAAATGTAAATAAATCATCTGCCTCCTGCACTGGATTGCTTCCTCCTCCATCTGAAACATGCAGAATTTCATGTTATTAACTATTCAATGAACGTCCTTCTGCCCGCTCATATCGAGATCGGACTCCGGCAAAATATGGCCAGTGGGCTAGAGATTTTCCATGAAAGAATTAAATTTCGCTGTCAGATATGTTCAGATATTATTGATCATAAAACCCTTTACCAACTCTTACTTTATTACAAGTACTGAGAAAGCAGACGTAAATGATAGGATGTTTAATAAATAATTAATTTGTATACAGCGGTATGGGTGACAAGACATTCATTTGAGAACGTAAAAAAGACGCGTTTGATGAAACACTGGTGGGAAAACCAGAAGGAAAGAGTCCACTAGGAAGACCTAGATGTAAGTGAATCTTAAAGAAAGAGAAAGGGATGTTATAAACTGGATTCATCTAAATATAAAATAAGCCGACAAACAAACTATTAACACTATAATAAGACACTAGTGCCATACGCGTTTCAACCTTAAGAGGTCATCATCAGTGATTAAATGAATTAATTTCCCTGTTGCCACTGATGAAGACCTCTTGAGGTTGAAACGCGTATGGCACTAGTGTCTTATTATAGTGTTAATAGTTTGTTTGTCGGCTTATTTTATATTCTAATACACTACTCGGTATGCATTCATCTGGCTCAGGATAGGGACCACAGGAGGACTCTTGTGAAGACAATAATCAATCCTCGGGTTCCACAAAACGTTGGAAACTTCTTGAGAGAGCGAGCAACTGTTGGCTTCTCAGGAAGGACTCGGTTACATGGAGCAAGTGCTACGGACATGAAGGACGAGGTGAAGAGACCAAATGAGAGAAGATACACAGATTTAAGAAGGAAAAGCACATACACGGATTCAAATCAAGGAAGGCAGTGGCGAATGTAAACATCACTGGATGATGCACCTCATTACCTGATGTCTTGAACTGTGGAACGCCCCCACCGTTTCCGTCGCTGGGCGCTGGAACAATGTTGCGGGGTAGGGACATGTTGTTCTGCAGTGTGTGCGTGATATCGTAGCTGTAACTGTATGAGAACAAGAGACGCCAGTTCATTGGCGGATTACGCCACTTGTAAAGAATAAAGAATTTTAGACCATGTACCAACACCTTAGACAAAGTAATAACGGGATGAAGGTAATTATGACGATGCGTTCCACTACTTCTGTTCTTCGCTCGTGGGACACGTAGCACTCACATGGAAGGAACACAAATTTCATTTGGAACATTCCAAATGAAAAGAAAACTTACGAAATGTAACTGTAAATGGGGAAAAAAACCACCAAAGTTTATTTTGGTTTACCAGGTGCGCATACTACATTTAAGGTCCAATAGTGAGCTTTCGTAAACATGGTGACGCAACATTGGGTTCCATATACGTGAGGCGTTCTCGACTTACTGCCGATCAACTGCTCTACGGGAACCCTCACACTACAGAATTACTCTGTAGTCTGGTAGCAGAAACTAAAACATTAATACAGATCTGCTCAATAGATCGATTCACATACCAACCTGACAAAACAGATCCATTGCTTCCATCTGAACACTATCCTCACATCTCCTTCTTGATCTTCAAAGCAGCAGCTGACAGGTTTCCCCAACAAAATTCTGCATGCATTTCTTTACTTCCCATTCAGAGATACATGTACAGCACATCCTTGATTTCATTACCTTAACATTACCTGGATAAATAATGAATAAGCAAGTTTTCTTGACAGTGTACCTGAAGTAGAAGTTGCTCGAAAGATCGATACTTTGGAACATCTTGACGTAACGCTGTTCATCTGGGTGGCTGACGCGAATGCCGTCATTTGGAATGTAGATCATGCTGGTGTCTTCTATCTTGTAGATGGTGTGATACCCAACGAACGCCACACGCCGTCTCTTTGTTACGAGGATTATATAATATCCCTCCAGGAACTTCACGAACCCTGTTGATTACATATTTGCTTGAAAACACACATGATAAGTACGTAATGATGTTCTTAAGGTTCAGAGCACATTGTAATTTTTTTATAATCTTTAAACGTCGATTCCAACTGACATATCAGTGACTCAAACACGTGTCCTCTATCAATAATACACTAATACTCTAGACCAGGGGTTCTCAACCTTTTTCGCTGGCGTACCACTAACTCTAATTTAACATGCTAGAGTTAGTGGTCTGGTTGATTCTGGCGGCGCACTCTTGCTCGCTCTCGGAGTCCTCAGAGTGTGTGAATAAGAGGCTTCCAGGACCGGCTCAGGTGAAGTCCATCTTCCCTGTTAAAGTTATCGGGATGTAGTTCGATCTCGATGGCTTCCCTGATTAACCGATCCATGTAGCCAGTTTTTGAGGAGAGGATAGAAGTGTCCTCTAGCTGTATATGGTGTTCCATGTTAACATGCTAACCAAATGTGTTCTGGAAAAACTTGTTTACATTAATATTATCTTTTGATTTTCTTACTTAGTTCACGTACCACTCAACATTGGCTTGCGTATCACCAGTGGTACGCATACCAAAGGTTGAGAAACACTGCTCTAGACAGAACTGAGTAAATTCAGTCCAGACCCCAACGATGTTAAGATATTCAGCACATTACGCACATGCTAGTAATGGAAATATAATAATTATGTATGATGTAACAGACAGTTCGCTCAAAGATCAGAGCTATTATAAATATTTTAGCTAAGAAGAACAGTGGCAGCAATAATGAACAAGAAGATTTCTGTCTTCTGGGTTGTTGCGCTGTGTAGTCTGGTCGATATTCATCGCCCTGATGACGGAGGCAGTATGACCTCTGAAACGTTGGTTAACATCGACCAGAGTACACAGCGCAACAACCCAGAAGACAGATATCTTCATACTCACCACTGTGAAAACCTAAAATCTTACACTATAAAGAACAAAATTTACCACAAAACAAAGCGTTAGCAGAAGATAATAACGTCTCTGATAAACAAAGTTCATATACCCTCAGAGAAAATGAAAAAGGTTTCCAATAACTTGAACTTGGAGAAAGTGTTCATTCTTTTGTAAGACAAATGCAAAATTTACACAGTGATAATTTATGAATCACAAGTACCCATTTGCAATATTTTAAAATAATTTATCAAGTTTCACAAAAGCGAGCTTTAGTGATACCGATGAAATGGCCTCTGCTGTAATACAAGATGCAGGTCAAAAGTTTCATAAGAAATCTTACCAAGCAAGCCAAATGCTGGCACTAGTCGGGGGAATGCGTTGCGCTTCCAAATGGAATGCCAAAAAGGAGGCTTGTTTTGAGAAGCTGTATCTTCCACTGTTCCTCCAACACCATTAGTTTTCTTACCTCCTGAGTGAGACGGAAAACAAAGACAATGTAATATGCATTAGGCGCAGACACCGACGACTGACAAATATTGATCGGCCATGTCACATATATGACATACAATTAACCTAGCATTTATACAGCCTGGGGAGAGATGTCTCAGAACAATCAACACTGACGTCACAGTCAAATCGCATATGGGTACCGAAGTTCATCTGCATTTTTTTAATAATAACCTGCGCAGTAAGAGTTTTTGCCACAATACACCATCTGGAGAGTCCCATTAAATGATTAATTCTCCTCAGTAAGTATGACGAATTTGATAAATTGGCAATGAACGCTCTTAATTCAAACGTCATCCTGGCCACAGGCGATTACACAGAACAGTGATCTTTACAACCATATGGACATTTGGGTTAAAAACTCAAAAATGAAATTAGTATATGAAGAGTTATCATGTGCCAAATCACTGAATGAACACATCACTATATCTGTACTATTTATAATCAACTTGGTTGTAATTAAACTAATTGTAAATTCATTGCGTAACCCACATTAAAGGACACTGCCGCCTAGATTAAGTTAATGGAGACTTTTACTGTTTCATAAAATAAATAACAAAGCAAAAACACAGCTTAATAATAATACAAAGTTTTGATATTGTTTCTCTCTTGGAATTCTTATAATAAAGTCATTAACGTCCACTGATTCTTAGGTCTTCCACAAACAAAATGTGTCTTCTTTGAGACAGATTTGAGATTTCTAGAGTGGTGAAGACGCTGATGTTACTCTGGCTTTTTGATGCCATGTGGACACTTAGCAGTATGTTTTTCTGTAACACATGCACAGTGTCACAACACAAAAGACCAGCAACATCAAGCCTCCTAGTCAATAATCTACAAAATACCTATTATTAAAGTATTCACTCCCACGTCAAGTTCATTGGTGATTCTCCAAATTTCTATTTGTCTATTTATAGTTTATTTAATGTAAGTTTTAATCATCTTCCTATGATGATTCCACTTTAAATTAGTGATCTGACAATAGAGCCTCTCCACCCGTTTGTCTTATCGCAGATCCTCCTCCTAAATCTCCTCCCACTTTCTTCCTTCCAGCATGTGACATTTTTCCTAACTTGTTGCTCCAATCTTGAGCTTGAAATACCTCTCGAGTGTTTTACTTTTACATTCACATTCAAAACCTTCTTTGGAACGCCCTTCATTAATTATTAAAATGCCCCCGAAGTACCTGAGCTACCCAGCGCCTGGAGGTATATAGCTGGGCCACCCTGTCTCTGGAGGTCAAAAATACAGAGGTCTGGTCCTCCGGGTTGGGGCTTGGGCATGGGGCTGACCAACCCCACCCTGGAAAACACTATATTGTTATGATACCTCAAATAGCGCCTCAGAATTCGGACCGGAACGGATGTTCACGCAGATAATAAGTCCTCCATATTTTACGAGATATTATCTGGTTATGACTACTAATTCCGACTTAGTACTCAGAATTTCCAACTTGTAAATGCTATTATTCTTGATGCTGCTTTAGAATTTATTTCTTTATAAGATAAGGAAATCCTTATGTCATATTTTGTTATCTAGAAATATTATTTTCGATGTACACAAATCTCTGTTCCATTTTCAGTGATTTGGCACAGAATGATAAGTAATTTAAAATGCTCACCAACAATCCCAAACGCAGACACCACTCTCGCCACCCCACTACTGCCAGATCGCTGGCCGGCACGGGTACGATTGCCAACATCAATCATGGTGACAAGATCTCGAATTTCTTCCTGTGTGTATTCCACTTTGTCATCTACGACTGACAACTCATACGGCTCCATTCGATCGATCTTAAGCACTCGGAATCTTGTTTGGGTGTTGTTGGATCCGATTAGATAAAATCTCTGTGGGCATAAATATAAAGGCACGGCAGTCAGGACGCTTTCGTACCAATACAGTTCTTGGTTTGACAACTATGAAAAAGGCCAAATGCCTCTCTCATTTGTCTGATTAACGGGCCCTGTGCAAGTAGTCTTAACAAACTGGCAATTTTGTTGCGTTCAAAGTAGAGTTCTATTGAATACACAGCGCAACAACCCAGAAGACAGAAATCTTCATACTCTGATGACGGAGGCAGTATGACCTCTGAAAAGTTGGTTAACATCGACCAGACTACACAGCGCAACAACCCAGAAGACAGAACTCTTCAGACTCACCGCTGTGAAAACCTCAAATCTTACATTTTATAGAATATTTTACACACATCAAAGAAATCCCAAGAATGTAAAAGATTCCAAATGTAATGACTTCTTCAAATTGATTATGGTATATAGTGGAATAGGATAGAATTTATTTGCATTCGACAGATCCTTCATAGGCCTAAGCCAAGGACAGGTCAAAGCACAAATATTAAACTTGTTTCTAGTACAAACATAAATACATAGTTATAACAGCTATTGACAGGTTTTTGGAACTAAAGTATTGCAGCAAAATAATTATGATGAGAAACCATCACCATTATTACTTACATGCATTTATAAATGCTTCTACTGAGTAGAAGGAGTGAGATTGGAGATACTCTTTTAACGCTGGCTTAAACATTTTTATATCATGATTTAATTCCAGTAGAGTAAACTCCTGTTTGATATTTACTGAGGTTAGATATTGGCACATGAAGGTTGTATCTGTATCTTGTTATATTGTGGATATCTGAATTTGTTTGAAGTTTTTCCATGTTATCCACTACAAATGAGAGCAAGAATTCACTGGGTATTGGAAGAATATTAAAATTCTTAAATAATTCCCTACAAGAGTCTCTCCTTTTAAGGCCTGACATTATTCTAATGATCCTCTTTTAAATGTAAAATATTTTTTTGCTGTCCGTTGAATTTCCCCATTTCTTCATTCACTAAATAGATGCATTCTCAGTATGTAAAAGAGCTAATTTCCCATTAAGAAAGGACCCAACCCTAAGGGTTGAACTCCCAATGCCAAACAATTCTGAACAATGCAACACTGCTATTTCATGTTGCCATAATTCATCCTACAAGTGCATAAAAGTTTCAACTAAAATTATGTACGTGATGAAGTGATACATACATTTCCAATGCTTCCAACGGAAAATGCATAAATGTAAAAATAACTATCTTTAGAATACGTGGAAACCTGAAATGACGAGTTTGGTCCAGCAAGCATAAGTAAAGGCAATGCCACAACATGGCAGAAGAATCTTAACCTAAACGTCACACCTGCGACTACATTAAAAATGTTGTCAAGGTTATTAAGACCCAACATAAACGCTGTAACCCACGTAATACAAAAAGAAAGGTGTGCTAATGTTAATAACATTCAGGGAGAACTTCTGATAAGATTACTAAACTGGTTATAATGACAACTATCCTCAAACCCTCACTCAAAAATCTTAGACGCAAAAAATGTCAGTACTAATTATCTTAATAAGGATTTTCGCGTAAATGAATGCGAATTCAGGAGTAATGAAATAATTTAAAATACTTACGGCTTTCGTTTCATACAATGCTATCTTCTGGATGGAACTTATTACTGGATGAAAAAGCACTTTTGTTTGCTCCATTGTATACCACTAACTATGTAAGCAGTTAAATGCAATACGTTTCTTCGTCCTCCCCATTTAACAGAAAACTTTCCAACTAAACTACAACTTTAATAATACCTTCACACGGTTTATAAACGCACGTGGATAACGTGACGTAATCTATGACCGCTGGCATAGATAAGTTTTACAGATCGCCAACATTGAAACAATAAAATGCTTGTATGAAGAGAAGAAGTGAACACAGATGTTGGCTCCGGAACGTATAAATCTAATCAGGTTATTTAACATCTGTTAAAATTCTAACCTTTATCGCTATTCAGTTATGTTGGTAAAACAGAACAAATACAAATGGTAAGTTACATAATGCAGGTGGCCACCCTATTTCTAATCCTTTAAAGAGAACGAGCAGAGTGGCGCAGTGGAAGCGTGCTGGGCCCATAACCCAGAGGTCCGTGGATCGAAACCACGCTCTGCTATATCAATTTTTTTTTAGTTTAAAATCAACTTTATTATGGCGTACACTAATGCATTTCACAAAAACCGATGTAACCATTCGACTGCAACCTTCCGATTTTCCAGAAAATATTCTAAGTATAATTGAAGGTTTCAAAATGTGTTTATTTCCAGGCCATGTGCGATTTGTTACATCCGGATTAAAATTAAAGAAAACACTTTGTGATACAATAAAATTGAGTTCCTGTTATAACTATCATTTCATTTCTTATATTTAATCAGTTTAAATTAGGTTAGTGATGAGCATGCGCAATGGAGTCATAACTCCACCCAACAAATTCAAACAGCCGCCACATTCATATTATCGAGTCTCGGAACGAATAAAGTAAGAGTTCGCTTGTGGTATAAGGTCCTTGCTGCCTCCATCATCATCGCCCTGGTAAACTTCTACCAGGCTACACGTCGCAACAGTTCTACGTTCATTAGTAAAATGGCTTCTCCTGCTACTATCACAGAACAGAACGACTTCTGTATCTTCCAGTAAACGTGTCTCGACGGACAAGGGGTCTCAACAACACGTCTGTTATCAAAGCTTCGTTTCCGGGAGGTCCAGTGTTCGGTTACTGAACCAGAGACGACCCATTGTGACCAAGGTCTCTAAATAATTTGTATTAATTTAATAGAAATCTAAAATAAAAAAACAGTTTCTTATAAATGTCACTGAGGCAGAAATCTTTTTAAGAAACTCGTAGTTGCTCAGCTAGTTAAGAAATCCCAAGCCTTTTTTGATTACAATGTTCACAATGATACGCCACTGGTCTATCCTGAGCCAAATGAATGATACAATGACGACAAGGGGCCCACATACTCTACATATTCTTTGACACAAGCTGAAAACGTCACTGGTTTTGTTTAGAAATGAGAGAAGCCTTGTTTCTTCAGTTCTGAAGATGTATTGTCTTCTGGGTTATCGCGCTGTGTAGAGTGGTAGGAATTGAATGGTGTTTCAAAGATGATTACTGCCTCCATCAACAGGGCGATCGTCCTAAGCACGTCTGAAAAGTCGGTCAGTTCCTACAAGCAAACTACATAGCGCAACACCCCATCTTCAAGAGAAAAAATACTTTCAGAACACTCACGTGTTTCATAACACCATTACATACCCAATCACAGTTCAGGACATGAAACTGAAATAATAATTAAGATTATTTTAATACTTTTATTCTGTCATGAATTACACACGATAATCATTAAATTAAAATTGCACACAGAGTTGTAGCCGCAAACCCTGATCAGAAGTAACCACGTGAAAGACTTAAAAATAAGATAACAGGATAATATTAAAATAGATATCAGAATAACAGATGGCGGGCACTTGTGAACACTGCCACATAATAGCAGCAAATATGACTAGCTAAGCGACTATTAGCTTCTTACGGTCTCTGCTCTATTAATTTATTCCTTCTAAATTCTGTTCGCTCAGTGCAAACAACAGACAATATTCAAACAGTTGTTGAACTACGGTGATCCGTGGTCAGCGATAAATTCGAAAAAACTGCGCTTGGCCCGCGAGGAAAATCATTTGTTCACCCCTGCTCTAATGACAGGAACTGTAAATACGACACACACGTCTGTGAGACAGTGATTAAGTGTGTCCGAACAAATAATATAACGACAGATAGTTTGTGGCTATTTTGACTGAAAAATGAACTCATGTCAATCGTCAGTATCGTTTCAAACGTCTGGGTCACAACATGGCCTCCTTGCGAATAACCAAATTCATATTCGTCATTTTACTTTCAATGGTGTCCGCTCAAGGTAGGTAAAGTCATTGAATTCTGTTCTTAAAAATCGTAGTTCATAATCTGGCCCCTCGATGAGGGGCTTAATGGTTTTCCCTAGTGTTTCCCGTCGTATGCATTAAAACAGGCTGCCACCACTTTGCACTATACAATCATACCCATATCATTAAATTCCGAACCTCTGCAGTTGGTAAGAAATTAAAAATAAAATAATAATTAAAGGTAATGTCTGTGTGTGGAATATATAGCTTCTTTACCACATTCACAAATGTCTGCCAGTAGATGATTTTCTAAGCCAGCTAAATCCGATCTACTCCTTCACTCCCAGTCAACGATGTCCCTGAGTTCATGTTCACTTCAATTGGTAAGTGAAAGTAATTGTTTAATGCTATTCTCTCCCAGGACGGATGGAGAAGGGTACCTCGAGACTTGGGGTAGCAGAAACAGACTCATCCTATGACGTGCAGAATTCTAAAACATTCAGAGACAGCTCACACGAGAGACACATGCAAGATGGACCGCCATACATAATGAAGAGACGAGTGATGGCCAATGGAGTCCGCACAGCAGAAGAGAGTTTGAAAATGGGGACTGGAGATGACGAGAAAACTGGCCAATCGGGCAAGTTGATGGAAGGAAGGCTACAGAAAGTAAACCTACCAGACGGCTGTACATGTACAGGATGCCCCACAAATGTGTTTTCAGCTTCTGTCATTGCAGGATTAGTGTCAGGAAGCTTGCAGGCTGGCACTGGTCAAGCTACCATGGAAACAGCTTTAAGTTCTGTAGGAGGTGCATCAGGTTCTACAGCATCCAATGGAGCACAGACACAGTCACAAATAGTGTTGCAATCACAGTCTGGAAGTTCAAGTGAATCAGTCTCACAGTCAGGTTCAATGAGTTCAAGTGGATCTGTCTCACAGTCAGGTTCAATGAGTTCAAGTGGATCTGTCTCACAGTCAGGTTCAATGAGTTCAAGTGGATCTGTCTCACAGTCAGGTTCAATGAGTTCAAGTGGATCTGTCTCACAGTCAGGTTCAATGAGTTCAAGTGGATCTGTCTCACAGTCAGGTTCAATGAGTTCAAGTGGATCTGTCTCACAGTCAGGTTCAATGAGTTCAAGTGGATCTGTCTCACAGTCAGGTTCAATGAGTTCAAGTGGATCTGTCTCACAGTCAGGTTCAATGAGTTCAAGTGGATCAATTTCTGTGACTGGCATGAAACCAAGCATTTTGCCTGGAACCAGTCTAGTACCTGGATCAAGTGGCACCAGTTCACAAGAACAAATTGGATCAGTTGGTGGCCTTGCACCTCAGCCAGAAGCTTTAATTTCAAGTGTTTTAGGTTCTCAGTCACAAATTCCAGGCTCAGGGTCACAGACAGGAACTTCAGCAGCCATACCTGGATCTTCAGGTACTTTATCTTTCGATGGCATCAAATAAATGTGACATGAAAATTATTCTTATTACATATACAGATCTTGTTTACAGTGGGGAATAATCCTGTGCTTGGGAAGGGCCAGTGATAGATTATTATTAAAATTCAGTATATTTCTTGACTGATTAAATTGATATCAACTGCTCAAGAAATACCAAGCACCATGAAGTTACTTAAAATTTGAGATTGAAATAAAATAAAGCAGATCAGGCATCTTAAATATGTAAAACTACAGTAATACAGTTTATTAATTGTACAATTAACAATTATAAAAAAATGGATGACTGATTAACATTTTATAAAGATGAGAAATAATAAAGATTAAAGCTTTTATAAAGATGAATTATAAATACAAATTAAATTTATGTAAGCTCAACAGGTCGGCTCATAGATATTATGTTCTTGCCTCTGAAGATGGTATCAAGATGAAAATGTAGGGAGAAAATTACAAGACGAAAGGAAGTAACATAGCGTTGTAGCTGACGGTTTAATAAAATTAAATTATTAGTGGAAGATGCAACAGGATGGACCACAACTTCAGAATAAAATAAAAATGGTTCATGTGCATATGCAGAAATAAACAGGCAAAATTATTATTTTAAGAATTAGATGATTTAAATTCTGTCACTGTAGTTATTGCTTTTATATGAAAAGTCAACTTCACAGACATTGAAATAAGAAAATATAAAAATGTCGCACATAACCTCAAATTATGACAATGATGATTATGATGATAATAACAAAAGTAACAGAGGCTTTAGGGTGGAAAATTAATTTCTAGTTCGGCACAGGTCTTTGCATAATTCTTCCAACACTCTAGATTGTTAACACAGACTAACTTACACGTTTATTCATGTTACAGTTTCAGGTGTTCCAACAGGCTCTGCAGGGAACACAAGCATCGAACAAACAGACGGGAGCACATGTCTGAACCCCCTCACGTGCCCACCAAAACAACTTGTATCCATGCTCATCACTTTGGATGCCATGATTCAACAAGTTCTCAAAGCAGTTAAGGAGTATTGTAAAATACCTATGCTAAGCACATGAGGAAATTATACAATGAAATGTATGAAGTACTGAGATTTATCTCTTGAGAGTATGACCTTGAATATACAAATGTACCACATCTGAGAACTGTACCAAAATTCAAGACAAATTATATCAATACATCATCATCTCCTATCAAGGATTGGGCCCTTGGCTCACTCTGGACAGTGACTTGTCTTAATAGTCCTTATTTAGTGCATCAGAGTAGCAGGTGGTGAGCCTGCTGCCTCCGCACAATTTCTACTCATTTCTGATTTGTATGCTAGAGCCATCTAGTAGCGAATCCGAAGAGACATGGGTGAGAAGCATGGCCACTGAATTTTCTTTATAAAACATCCCTTTCATGTTCATAAGATCCTTTTACGTTCCATAAATCTACGACATGAGACTGATGGCTTTACTTAACTTCCAAAGGAAGTCGTGATACAGACTTTCATCACCCTTGGCTGAATTTGAACCAGCAAACCTTGGGTACAGTGACGAGCAAGTTGTCACTATGTTATTATTATTATTATTATTTAGTGTTCTGTCTGACGACAGGTCCATATGAACAGGATCCTTCGATCCTTTTCTCTTCTCGGACTGGGACTGGGACCTGTTCATATACGTTCTTGGCAGATTATCCAGAAGTGGTTTGCCATTGCCTTCTTCTGTGTGTGAATGGAGTAATTTTTATTTTTTTTAGTGTTCTGTCTGACGACAGGTCCATATGAACATGATCCTTCCATCCTTTTCTCGGACTGGGATCTGTTCATATACGTTCTTGGCAGATGATCCAGCAGTGGTTTGCCATTGCCTTCTTCTGTGTGTGCATGGAGTAATTGTTGGGATGCCACGGAGAAACCGGGGAAGCCTCCGTGTTGCCTAGACCACGGCCTTGCCCAACACAAGTTATAAATTCGGGCACCGCCGGGAATCGAACCCGAGACCCCAGGATTACAAGGCCAGCGTTCTAACCGCTAGACCACCGTGGGTCACTATGTACCAGAACAAAATCAGACTAACATGTTTTAGGGTAAAAAGTGAGCTTCGCAATTCCTCCATCCTTAAACACCAGGCCACGAGGGCATGGGGGGACACAGCAGTAAAGCTCCATGCATTCTGCTCAGCCGTAAAATTGAAATATGTTGTCAGAGTAATGCTCCAGTCTACACAGTTGATACATGGAGCTCAGAGCCCCTCTGGTAATTGTCATTAAAAAAAAAACAGCACCTACCAGGAGTCAGACCCCACTGATCTGAAAATATAGAATTTTAACATTTGTAATTACTTACCAGAGAAAACGTGACTTCATTCTAAGACAATGGTCAGAAGGCCTGAGCTGTGACCAATACAGAGTGCTGACGTAAAATAACTTTATTTCAGGAAGGGGGATAGAACATGTAAAAAACAAATTAGCACAGATTTTTGGTAAACGACACCGAGGTTATCTGAGAGTCTTAAGAGTCGATAGCATTTAAGTCTTAAAATGGATCTTGCTGAAATAGATTTTAAAGTGGTTTAGGACAGGGACCAATTTTGAGGCTCTTTTGATATTTCTGGTTCAACATAAGCAAGGAATTATTCAAATAGACGAGTTACTATCAAAAAGATTGTGTACCAAGGAGCAAATTAATTTTATTTTATAAAATATGGTAGAAAATTATTTGTTAACACAGATTTACATCTCAAGTGCATGTTGATGACGTCAGAATCACAAATCTCACATAAGTAAACGTATTTGCATCGCCGTTTAATGTGCTTCTGACCCACCCAAGTTGTGAGGGTCGAGATATGTCAAGGGTCGTTTGTCTGATTGTAATTTTTAGTATTCATTTCTGCCACAAGTTGAAAGGTAAAATTGGAAGACAAAACAATTTTACATTTGTTTAAAATATTTTTGTCATCTAATATGTTCAGCGAGTCATCATCCCACAGCGCTAATGCGTGAAAGGACCTAAGGGATTTTCCATCTGCACAAATCTGGAGTCCCAGTTGCAGGCATCTGTAGCAGTGGACCGTAGTCTCGATTGTGATACTATTTAGTCTTGCTGGCAGTTATCAGTGTTTCAGATGAATGTGCTTCCTCTGTCTTCAGGGTGGATTGAGACAAAGGCAGTATAATACTCGAAAAATTTAGTAATCAACAATATTTGGCGTCACAACCCAGAAAAACACAGTCCACTCTTTCAACTGCAGTGGTCATCTGCCTTATTTCTTTCTGCAAAAAGAAGGAAAAAGGAGGTATATTAGAAGATGTAAATATATTGTCAGGTTAGGTGATGAAAGGTAAATTTGCTCCCACGACTGAGCAATGTGACAAAGATGCATGCACGGGTTATGGATATAACGAACCATATATTCTTACTGAGGAAATAATTAATCCATTTTAAACCACTGAGATCTGGAAAGAGTTTGAACCCAAGACAAATGAACCTAAAGAGAAGTGGTTTACTGTTCAGTCCTTCTTAAGAAGCTAACAGTTGCCAAGATGGTAGAGAAATTCTCATTATTGGAACACAAATGTTCAAATTCATTTTCACAAAAGCTCACCATTCGAAACCATCTCAAGTCAGAAGAATCTAGTCTGCACCAACACCCCATTCTTTCAACATAACTTTTAATATTATCCTCCTGTCTAAAACTAGTTGTCTGAATCCTCATTTGTCCCTTGCATACTACATGCACTAATCATTCATAGAAGCTGTGCTCACCCGTAGCCATAGCTGTAGCTCGAACTAGAGGCTGAACTCTGGCTGTAGGAGAATGAGCCAGAATCGCCTCCACAAGTTGAACAGCCTGAACTGTACTGTGGATAGGAATAAACTGGCTTCTGATAGACCGGCTGTACATATGCAACAGGTTTGATGTAGTACGTTTCAACGTAAACTGGTTTGGGATAATACGGCTGTACGTAGTAACCACCACCGCCATGCCCACACGAGAAGCATCCTTTGAAACGTCTGTGGGGTGATCTTTTTGAACGCGGGTCTCCTTTTGAAGTTTGATCACTCCCAGCTACAGCCCTAACCTCTTTGACAGGCAATTCTGCTTCTGGAATGCAGAAAAGTCCACATTAAAAGGTACAAAGCCAGTACCCCGGAATACGTGGCTGAAAAAATAAATTTAAAAAAGTTATAAAAGCGACTGTAGGACGTACCTTGTGTGTGCTCCGAACCTTTACTTAAAGTCGCAATAAACAGTCGTGACATGGGACTGCGTTCTTGCGCCACATCGCCAAATTGTACCTCCTGAAGCTTGCCTGTGGACCCACCTTCTGGAACAAGGAGTCCGACTAGGGTTTAAGGACTCAGATGTTCCAAAATGGTCAGCGAATTCATTTGGCTGTGTGAAATGGTTATCCCTTTCATTGTTAAATTTACTTCTGAGAAGCAACAGCCGTCTGTTCTGCTCCACCAATCACCTTCCCTATTTTACGCTTCCAGACATGCCAACCTCTACACATTCACCCAATGCACTATTCAATTTTCAATAATCGACATGGCTTATCCCCAAAAGCCAAAGTTACACATTGAACTAAAGCCACAAGAACATAAAGATAACAATTATTCTTGAGTGTTTGAACATGCTAAATAATAAAAAGTTCTAAAAATGGACGAAACATTTAATTTCCTCCAAATGTTTCATTGTTCAGTAATTATAAGCCTTGTAATTAATTTCCGTTCATGATTTTCATTATTAAAAATTCAGATCATATTAAATTTACCAGATCTATTCACGCTGCCACCAAGTTCATGAGTGTAAACACGTAAAAATTTATCATACAGAATCTGACGGTATTGTTATTATCAATCGCCATACAACATTTCACACACCTAGTTTCAATGGCTAAGTGGTTACCACCCTGAAAGTTAGAGCTCATTTGTTTTTGTTACGATATGCGCGGTTGTCATGTTTCTGTTTTACATGAAAACTGAATGTTCTTCATAAGTTCACACGCTTGCCAAAATTATAAAATTGCGGGTGACCTCAATATTCATAACTAGTGTAATAAAAATCCCTCTTTTGGTTCAGAAGTTATTATGGAGAACTCGCACACAAGAACGACACATATTAATCCAGCAAACATCACGAAGCACTTTTAGACATTCTGGTGGCGTGAAGCCAATTTGACTGAAGAAACGAGGGGTTCACTGCACTGCAGAACTTTCGTAAATATTATTTTGTACAAGAAATAGGGGTCGCTGAATTGGGAATCGGCTCGTTGTCACCAGGCCTCTACTATCAGAGAAAGACACTTATAAACATAATTAACCGGATCGAAACCCTCGGCCAAAGCGTTTAAAAACCACAGCGATCGTCTGTTATCAGTTTTAAGTTTCTCAAACTTCGATCAAAGTAGGGTAATCGCTTATATAAAAGTACATTCAAATCGGAATTTTGATGGAAATGCAGTTTTGGCGATCTCTAATACACGTATTTATTTATTTTTGGATTATTTAACAAAACTTTCAACTGCTGAAAATAGTTCCACCCCCCACCCCCCCTCTGTAAAACTAATTACCCTGCCGTAATCCTAACCAACACATCATCAAATACCACAAGATTCTGAAAAGAAAATTAAAGCTGAAACACAGAACTTCTTCCGAAATAAAACTCACCCACGTCTCGAGCACTGATTTTATAAGTTGAGGCACGATCTGCCAAGACAACGCCGATACAAAACAGAACTGTAAATAGCTTCATAGCTGAAACATGAGCTCTTCACACGCACGTCAGTCGTTTTGTGACAACGGCGCTCGGGCTGCTGTGAACATTTATAATCCAGACTTTCCTCCACAAATCTGCGTGATCTTGACGCAAAGGTCGACGAGATACGAAAGCGATGAGCCTGTTGACAACCCCCCTCGCCCCCGCCTCAAACGAGGATGCTACCACAATTACACGCAGACGTCATGTCCAGAATGATTAGCATTTCAGCTAGCCCGCAGGTTCTGGGCCTTCCCCGACATATTCTCAGATCGCCAGCTGATTATCGAATTACAACCTTCGGAACGGCAGTGTCCCTTTTCCAATCTTCAGTTATCCGGTAAATTTCAAATCACTCCCCTTTCAAAATCGTCATTCCACGTGATGCAATGCTGATTAATGTACGTAGCTGAAACAGCGTTGTTAAACAGTACGCCTACTAGCCCGATAATGAATTCGAGTAACGTGTTATATAAATTCCAAGAGCTTTCAGACTCGAAATGGAGACCATCAGTATTGTCCCAGAATTTTACCGATTCTGTTCCGCGCGTCTATAACTTTCTTTAAAAAAAATCCAGTTCATATATTTCCATGGCATTTTATTCGAGCAACAATTAGATGTTTGAATCTTGACGGGTAAATGCGGCCAGGCTAATTTTATTCCACGGTTCATGATTCTGAATCAAAATATTTGTTCAGTAGATAATTCTAATTCAATAATTACAGTTACATCAGCTGTAAGAACATCGTTAGAACAATCAGTTATAAACAGCGTAAATAAATATGCGACGTTACACAAGCGCTCGCTATCTCCATCATCAGGGCTATAATGCACCTATGAAACGTCGGTAAACATTCCACCAGACCACGCGACACGACAACCATCTTCGGACTCGCTGCCGTCAGAACCTGATCCTTCAATTTGCGTTCTTTTGTGTTACGTCTTCGCGTTATTTCCACCTAAAAGTCTGAATATTCCCGGAACTTGGGTATTTACGTGTGATTGGGAAATACAGACAGAGACGTCAATGATCTGCAAACGTGGTCGAAGATTCCTTTCGAAATTAAAACACGCCGCCATTGTTAAAAGTGCAAATTACGTTCTTTATCGCCTCTTCTTCTGTTTCATTTCTAGTCTCTTAAAACGCAACGGAATTTGTTGCGTTTAGTGGATTAGGGATTCCCTGTTTCTGCCCACCCGCACGGTTCCGGATGCTAAAACAACTGGGCAGTTTGCCAAGATGGCGCACTTAAAGACAGGGTTACCAGTATTACGGTCTGATACTTTTATACGGTTATTCGTGTGCCCAAACGTGACTTGAAAGATTTTCGACCACCAGACCGGGTGGGACACAAGAAATGCATACATATTGTGATCGAGAAATCTAAATGAGAATCCGAAGGGTAGAATCGACTTCTGAACGATCAAAACCTGATAACCTAACCTAAAACGAAACATGCCATTAACACGTAAGAGTCAAAACAGATCTGGACATCAAATGGAGTGAATCACTTGGGATAGACAGAAGCCAAGTTGCTCAGCTAGTCAACAAATTCCACGCCTCCCAAAGGTAAAACACAACAGCCCACCACAGATTCCTCTCCCGAGCCAGCTAACTCCAATTCATCCTCACACCGTGTTTCCTTAATGTCCATTTTAATATTACCCTCTCATACACACATCTTGCAATATTTTCTGACAAATTCTGTATGAATTCTGCACCTATCATGAATTCTACATACCCCACCCATCTCATCCTTGAATTTATCACACTAATAATACATGGTGAAGCGTAGAAATTACGAAGCTACTCATTATGCAATTTTTCCATCCTCCAGTTAATTCTCTTTAATGTTCTAGCATTTTCCCGTTCTCAAACAAACTTACGTAGTTATTCGTACAAAAACCACGAAGGTGGCACACAGTTAAGACTGTCTATCGCATTATAATGTTGCTACACGTATCATCTTGAAAGAATGCACATAAACACACTGTAGAAAGAACATAATTCTGGCACACCTGTTAGACACTACTTCCTTTACAATAGTCAAGGTGATAGTGACGTCATGAACAATCCCACACACACATTAATGTTGACTTTCATGGCGATTAATGCATGCTCAGGTGAGAGAGCACGCAATTCTGTTGCTTAAATCTGAAAGATACTTTCAAGTACAGCCTGAAGTGACATCAGCCTGTAATATTAATTTCACTTATTACAGTTCATCTCGACTTGCACAAATCCCACAAAGACGGTTTCTGCACTGATGAAGGTTATATAAAGGAGACAGAATTCTTTAAAACTCATTTTTGAGCACCTTGTGGCTTAATACTGGAAACACAACAACGCTTTATAACTCTTTCCGGAACAGAATGGCGAATGCAAACGTCTGTCGTCACGTTCTTGCAGCAAAACAAAAACATTTCTGGCAATATTTACAATTTACGTTTCCAGTTTTTCAAATTGTTCTTGTGTGATCTACATCGAGATAATGTAAACTACAAGTAGGCTCTGAGGTTCTCACGGCTGTGAGCCTGAATATGGCTGCCTTCTGGGTTGTTGCGCTGTGCGGTAGAAATTTACAGATGTCCTTGGTGCCTCCATCATCAGGGCGACGAGTACTCATTGCCTTGGAGGCAACAAGGAACTCTGAAACATCTGTAAACTTCTACCACACCGCACGGCGCAACAACCCAGAAGACGACCATCTCTTAAATTACGAGTGTCTTGAAAGAGACGGCTTGGAAAAATATTTTGATTCGAGAGGAATGTGTGGGAGGGCGGGAAGAGAGTGTAAGCCGCGTAACTTGTGATTTACACGGGTCACTTGGTCGGGTCCAACGGAACACTCCTGCAAGCACTGTAACAATCCTTAAGATTGAATAAAGGGCATGGCATTTATTGACCATTTGAGCAACCATCAACTTCTCAAGGAGGACTCTGCTCCAAAACTCATTCCTCGCTTCAAGAAACAATTTTGTTTTAACCGGCGACAACTTGATGCTAATAAAGACAAGTCACCAGCGTGTCACGACGTGACTGATCCCTTTACACCAAAGAAGAAATGGCTGACCACCTTGAAATTATGAAGCGAGACAACGTCCGCTGCTGGCATACGTAAGATTATAAAAGACAGGAAACAAAACAGAGTTCACAGTTTCTGTAATCAAAGAATCACGCACAATCACCTAAGATAGATTCCTGTTACATCAATGCATGGTCTACGGCAGTGTTTCTCTGACGTGCGCTCTGCAGAACCCCAGGGTACCATGAAGTAGTCTTAAGGATTCTGTGCCCAATGACGGACCATCTCATTTCACAATTCCTCTGCCATCACATTACAGTTAACTGCATATACTGCTCCATTCCTGTCAATCACAGTACACGTGTTAATTTCCAACGCATCGGCATTCGCTTCCAGCGGCGGCGGTACTTTGGTAACAACCGAAGTTAGAACTTGGGAGCAGACATGCGCTGACTCTTTATCAATCTTAGCGACACAAAATCTAAGTACCAATAACTGTGACACGTTTATTTTCCCAAGCCCTTTTAATGGCGCACCAATCTCCACATCGAGGTTTTGTTAATAATGTCCAAATTTAAAATTTCCACAGCATTTTTAGTAATATGATGTCTTTTGGGCTGTCAGCCTCGACAGACACGGCTGACAACCCGAAAGTCATCATATTACTAAAACCGCCGTGGAAACTTTAAATTTGGACATTACAGTCTTGTTAACACAAAGCCCTTTGAAGCCAAAGCCTGTCTAAACAATATTTAAAAATCCAATTCTTACCAAGGAAAACGTAACGTCTCCATGACAATCAAACGCTTAATTCGGTTTAGTGAAATAATCTTCGATTACTTTGAGAATAATGCAAAACAAATAAATATATTGTCAGCAAAATGCAGAGTTACCGATTCTTAAAACAGGTGGTACATATAGGGCTTTAAAGGATTATGGTAGTTGTACTACACAATTATAACAGGAAGACAAACATAATTTTATGTTCATTTTTATGTCAAAAGGATCGTACGTGCCAGTACAAAGAAATCACGCAAACAACAACACGAAAGACAAAAAACATTCTGGAGTAGGATTTGAGGTTCTCACGGCATATGAGAATGGCCTTCTCCTGGGTTGTACGTTGCCTTTGAAACGTCGGCAAACTTCCACCAGACATGGCACTACACCCCAGGAGACGGCCATCTCGTAAAATGTTTAGAATTCTTGTCCTTCGGCATATATAACAATTAAATTTACATTTCTCACAGAAAATGAAGACCATTCATCTCAAAACACAACATCAACAAGAAATTAACAACATATGTCAACTCTATCATAAAACATTCCATTTCTAACGTTCATCTTCAACAACGGCCGAGCCGTTAAATAACAGAAATTGCTTCTCTTTTATAAAAATAGATACATTTGTTCACTTGGTGATAATTCCATAATTCAATAACCACATTTCATTTGGTAAATGTGAAAAAAGGTTATACTAATCCGTGTATATTGAAATTTCATTTGCTTTGTACATTAAGATGTGATAAATATATGATTGTCTGTAGTAATTGACAAAAATAAATGTGGCTGCTGCCATCTGCCATTAAAATTCGAAGAATGTTCTTTTTCATTGGCTTAAGGCAATAAAAGAACTTCTCCCTGCGCGATGCTTAGTTACCGTGTTTTTTTCTGATTAAAAAAGCTTTCACAAAAAAAAAAGGTGAAGCTCCGCAAGTAATGCCACCTGAGAGTGAACTTGTGCAGTAAGTGATCAACCTGTTCCAGGCACATTCACTGCAAATGACATCCACTGCTTCCATTCGTGCAGAGGCAGAACCACAGAACACACATTTTTCGCCGTAATTCTCACACTGCTACGTCTGACCTTGTGTCGCAGCCATCACCTCCATATCATCACGACACCGTGGGATGTACAACGTAACACACGTATGTTCCCAAATGTCTTGAGGGTACTTCTCCCCTGTCGTCCAAGTATCTGTTTCAAGGTCATAACACTCAATGACAGCTGTAAAAGGAAAAAATGAGAAAAAGTCACTTCCGTTACCAAACCATTTCAATGCACGTCAAAAAATGTGCGCCAAGTCACCTTAACAAGCAGCAACTGTGCATTTAAAAGAATTTCTACATCTTGACCTCACTAAAATCCTAGACAGTGTTGGCAAGCCTGCACTATCATTCTGATTGGCTCAACAATTCCTGACATTCTTATTATTATTATATCGGAATACCAATTTTTGACAGAGAACTAATGCTCCAGTAACATAATCCAAACATCCACACCTGCTAACAAAGACCACCACTGTACAAAATTCTGAGCCAGTTTAATCCATTTCTAATTCTCACGAAATATTTCCCACACGCACAGTTACTACTTGTACTGATCTAATTCTCCTTTAAAATGTGAGGTAAAAACAAAGCGAACGGGATTAACATACCTGTGGCACGATCAAACATGGCATCACTATGGAATCCACCAATGAAATATATCTTGGTGTCTACCCCCACAATTCCTGCATGGTATCTTGGCGTCGGGACGCGTGTCACAATCTGCCAACGATCTGCTGTGACATCATAGACGTCAATAGTGTCGACGAGGATTCTGTTTCCAGTGTCCGCATCCTCGAACCACCCTCCACAGACATACAACCGATCGCCCACGACGAGCATGACGTGATCTGCGCGTGGGGTCAACATAGGGGCTCTGTGGTCCCACGTGTCTGTCCCTGCATTGTAGCAGCACATCGTACCCAAAACAAGGTCCCTGTCGAGCCCTCCTGACACAAACAAGCAGTGACCCCAAGTAGCACCAGCATGTTGGGTCCGATACCCCGGCAGTGGCTGCACGCTCTCCCAGCCGTCAGTCTCCGGCGTGTAGCACTCGCACGCGCTGACTTCGCCTTCGTTCTCTGGCTCCACGTCGTCCATCTCGCTGGCGCCACCGATGGCATACAGACGTCCTGACACGACATTCAGCGAGAAGCGACATCTTTCACGCTGCATGGGTGCCATAGTGGTCCATTTGTTGTAGCGTGGGCTGTACCGGAAACCAAAAGGATGGATGTTCTCCTGGAACAGAGCAATTTCAGATTCTGCAACTTATTTCAAGAATAAATAAGACAACAAAGAAATGAGATCATGAAGTGCCTGCCTTACTGTTGTGAGAAGAGAATGACCATTCAATATTAAACCTTTTAAGCCAAAGCTCGTCTAACATATCAATAGCCGTAAATTCTGCATGTGATATTTTACAGTCCGATGGTAGACGTCCCTGAGCCGAAGTGCCATAACGTGAAGGTGTATTTGTGGAGTGGAGATACAGCTCCATACATTCTCAACCCTGGCACCAGATTCATGCGCGTGGCCACCTTAATATTCCAGTTGCTTTACCATGGGAAAGAGCCGCAGTTCCCGCCGAGTACGGATCTGAGCGGGCTCCAGACCTTGTCTCGACGTGTGGTAAGGAGCAAAATCTGAACCCCGTCAAGAATCAAACCCTGGTCATCTGACCGATACCTAATATAACTAAAAACAGCACAACAGGAATGGGACAACTGAAGATTCACAATGACCTTCAAGCAAAGTATCTACACTGACTGGCTATTACGTTCCTGAAAACCCGTGCTAAAATGTGTAACTTTGGATTTTAAAAGACTCTAATAGAATCTGCGCACTTCTCACTGAAAGAAAGACTTCGTAAGATAGACAATTATTTAGTCATCAGCATGTCAGCGATCTTTTAAAACCCAGCAGTACCTGATTTCGCAGTCAATAACTCTGTGTTTATGAATTTTGTGTGACTGTCAGAAGACAAAGCTATTATTTCCCTGAACTGAATGATCATTGCCAAGATGTAATGTGTTTTCTTAGAGGTAAGAAGTAAATTTTTTAACATTATACAGATGAGCTTTGGAAGCCAGGACAGCTCAGTCAGTATAGTGACTAGCCTACGGGTTGGACGGCCGGGGTTCGATCCCCGACGGGGGCAGAGGATTTTTCCTCTAGCCTCA